CAAATGGCAACCAGCATTGAGAAAGTTCCACCTCACGCCTGCTGATTTCTACACTGTTTTCCAGATACAGATCATCTTCAGGGGAAGCTACTCACAAAGAAGCAGGATCTTCCCAAAGGGTCCTAATCCTTCTGACAACACTCTTCCCAGGAACTTTGTGGGAAGATGCAGCACTCATTAGATCACAGTGCGATGAAACGTGGCTTGACTGCAACTCTGAAGGCCCTTTCCAATCTCCCCCTGCAACTCTGAGTTGTCAAAAAGAGCTGAAGAAGTACCGGAGGATCAGGTAAAGGGACATTATATCTGCAGTACATACAGAATGAAGTAGTAAGATTATTAGGCCGAATACAAAGTAAATTAGACCAGATTTGGGGAACCGAGATACCCAGTCAAATTTTAAAAATTGGACTTTAATCTACCACACAACTAGAAATAAATCTCAGGTTATACCTGGTGCCATGATGAGCAAAATGATAAAATATGTTAGGGTTACCAACAGCCAGCAGCACTTGGAAGAAATGGATTGGGAGTGAGAGGGGTGGGTGGGTAGCCAGCAACTGGAGATGGAGGAAGAGACGCTGTCCATCCCTGGTGTGTCTCGAGGAGATGTGGGAGGTGGTGAGGAGCACACGCGCAGAGGAGTCAGGAGTGAAAACCATCGCTTACAAAGCGGTCCTGATATCAAACATTTTAAAAGTATAAAAATGTGCAAAAGAATGTCAAACTGCTTACCCCTCCAAGTGGCTGGGAGGGCTAAGGAGAGAACATAATGAAGTCTGGAGCTGAGTGGCACGATTGGCTATTGTGCTCAGGGCATGATCACCTCAGCCCTCAATTCTCTTGATTCTCTCCAAATAGAACCCCGAACAACCTGTGCTTACCAAGTCAAACAAGAACGAGGCGTGCAGGGGAAACCACAAAATGAGCCCTGAGGCTGTGAGCCTAGGTGTCCGGTACCCACCAATCGGTAGAGCTCAGTGATGCTGATGTCCTCCGGGTCCACCATTGAATACTCTTTCCTGGGCACCAGGTCCAGTCCAAGTTGCCTAGAAAACAAATGGCACAAGGGAGAAAAGAAACCTTTATAGACTGTACGTTAAAGTGGATTCCTTTTACTACGTTGTTTGTTGTTTGCATAGTCGTTGTCTGATCTACCATGTTTTCCTCACTGATGTCTTACTTAACCTCCACGATTTGCAAACATAGTTGAGGCAGTGCGTGTAATGAAGGCTGATCCCTGGGGAGAGCTTCAGAAATGGAAGGTGACAGGGAAGGCCCATCAGAAGAGTCAGGTGGACCTGCTCCTGAAGTATGGACTTCCCCAAGAATGCTTGAAGCCTCCCGACAGGCCGTGCAGTTGCTGCCAACTGTCAGTGACTCCACAGGATGGAGCAGAACTGCCCCACAGTGCTTCCAAGGGGCCATGTGCATAGAAGCGGGTGACCACGTCCTCCTCCCATGTGCTGAACCACTGTACCACCAGGATCCTTCAGTGCTAAAAAGTTTCATCTTTGAGACAGTTTTGACTGTATCACTGTACCTCACTCCCACCCTATCCTGGGAGCTCTTGCCCACAGTCTTTGCTGGAAGGGGCATACAAGCAGCAGACCATCTCCCTTTCTGATCCAGACCTAAGTAGCCCACAAGAGTCCGCCTGATCCAAGGACAAATCTTCCACAGACAGGCTAACAACATGAGTGGCCTCCTATAAAATGCTTTGAACATTGACAGCATCGATGAGATTCCTTCCTTGAGAATTTGAACTGAGAAATTCAGATGGATGGGGGGGCCAAGTATGTGACAAGTGGTTTTCGGAACAAAAACAAGTCTGCAGGAGCAAGATTCGGGTTGGAGGTTCTTGGTGAGAGTCTAGTAGCGCAGCCCTTGGTGCCCTCCAAGAA